AAAAGATTAATGAGCTCACGCATATCATCTATAACTTTTTTATTTTCAATTTAATATGACATGAGATAAATATTTGGATTATTCAAAAACAATATAAACGAGTTAAATACTATTATTAAATTATATTTCAAACTGATACTACATAATCTAAAGGTTCGGAAACGAAATCAACAATTATTTATATTTACCATTGGAAAATTTTTCAAATGTGATTAAGAGGTTTTTCAGAATAAAATGCAGAAGTATATAGAAACTTTCTGTGAAATACACGATAAGCTCAAGATATCTTATAAATATTTAATGTAAATTTGAAAAACGAAAATTTTAAATGCATTTTATTAGTGAATCACTGTTTAATGAAGTTGCTTTTAAGTTAATTTTGATTGATATTTGTGGTTCTATCCATTGAAGGGTGTGGGTGTAGGGTGTAGATGTGGCGTATGTGTGTAGGTGTGAGTCTTCAGTTCAACCGCACTCACACCATACTCACCCACACCCACACCCTAATTCTTATTACATGGGAATAGAATATGATCATCTAAACAATGAAACAAATAAGCTTATCTAGGTTTGTAAAAGAAACTATTTTCAGAAGGAGAAAAAATAATTATGACAAATCTTCATTTCACAAAAATCATACGTGTCATACGTTTTGTGGTCATCTATTTCACTTTAATAATGTCCAACGCTTAAAAAGTACGTGAAGAAACTCCAGAAATTGTTGAAGGTAGGGATGAATCTGAGTTTGAATAAGAAAATAATAATATATACTAGCTTATTTGTTGTCGAGGGCGGGTGTGGGGTGTGGGTAGGTGTGGGTGTGAGAGTGAAGAGAACTCACACACCCACACACACCACTGTCACCATGTGTCTCATTCAAAATTAAATAAAAATTGGAAATTATTCATATCTGAACTCTAGAATTGAACTAATCCAGTCTAAATATAAAGTTGAAAATATAATATACTATTGATTAGGGAGTCATCCTATGTAATCAAAATTAGGGTAAAACTTCGATGAAAACCGATTAAAAAATCAATTGTAATCATACACTTTTAATCAATCTCTATCTAAATTTTACCATTTCCTTTCAGCTGGAATCTAAGTTTTGACAATATAGCATTACAAAAATAATCAGCTTTGCTTCGTCGATACTACTGGGGCGCGAGTAGGTATGAGTAGGGTCAGAATCTGAGAATTTTTTATTAACCAGATCTGAGCTGATGCCCTAAACTCTTGAACTTTTATCGCTCTAGACGGTCTGCATTCTAATCAAAAAATAAATTTTAGAGTCTAGGCTGAGCCACACGTAATCCTAATAAATTTCAACCATTCTCATGCGACTACAGAAATTCTCAGACCTAATAGGCTTTGTTTTCGAACGAACTTAGGATTGATTTATCTAAAGTGCGTTTCAGAAAAAGCATTTATTGTCTTCATTAGCATGGATATGGTAAATGTTCAAGAAATTTTGTCCTAAAGAATATTATATGACATTTTTGTTCATTACACTGGTACCAACATTAAGGATTACTTTCCATAGCTAAACGTACCGTCTTGTTCCATGATTATTCGAAGACATTTATCAAAGTTCTATACATTACTTGAAAGATGATGAAAGTGTGAGCGTGACTACAACGTAGACAACCATAACTAATCCTTAACTTACAGCCTCAGCCAAACTCGCACCCACACCCCAATCAACATAGTGAGGAATGTCTGAGTGGAAGAAGGGGACTGACCGATCAGCCGATAATCAATCATTATAAATTAGTATTGTTTTTTTTTGCTATATGGCATTCACAGGCGCACATGTCACACGAACACTCGATTAGGTTTAGTACAAGAGGTCAGTACATGACAAAGAAGTGAGTTTTTAAAACTCCATCTGTCTCTCATGTTATCGTAACATTAGCAATTTCAGTAGCTGAACAGCACGAATAGTTTGTTAGCCAAAAACTAATAACATATATATCACCGGCAACTGTTGAAAATGTTTGACTTATTGTATCACCATTGTTAGCGCAACGATCGTAATAGTAATAGCTTCCTGATTTAGCATAACTACTTCCCGAGTACGCCATACCAGTGTACCAATTACATGTACCCGAATAAGTCCAGCCAGTCAGATCACCGGTTTCAAATCCCCCGTTCGTAATTAATTGTGTCAAGCCACGATAAACCTTAACATCGTCTAGCATCCAACCACCGGGGTCATGACGAAAAAAGAAGGATAATGTTGCTGATGATCCAGTGGCCACCCAAGTGTATGCATAGCAAGTGTAACTTGGATAAGTGAATGATATTGGATTGGTAACAGAAAACAATGTTCCACTTGATCCTGATTGAGGTGTACATGGTGGAACAGCCGTAACTAAAAAGATAAGAAAATAATTTCCTCTTATCCATGAGAAATGAAGATCAGCGAAGACTATTGTAGACGTCACTATTATACAATGATATTTTGAATATCTTTTTATTGAAAGAGCTTTTTTCTAGACAACATTGCTCGAAAGTGAGTACTTATCTTGTGAATTACGTTTGTGCATAAGTGTTAAAGTCGATAATGAGCAAATTAAAACGTCACCAGTCTGCCTCGCAGATTGTAACAGACATGTCTGTCACGGTCTGTGATAATGAGAGGATTTTTGAAGTGTTGATCTTAGATCACTCCAAGAAATTTGATAGACGTGTCTAGGTTTTTCGATCATGACCTATCCGGTTCCGTCATATTTCACATTCTAATCTCGTATGAATTGCGCTGAAAGCTATTTAATTTGGTGGAGTGACACGTTTTCTCAACGAGCGTATCTTTATGATGAAGTCTTTTTTATTGAAAATATTAGCAAGAGATTTATTGACTATATGGGACATAGAATAATTTCACTTGCATAATATGCTTTTGAAAGCTTTGGAACTCTATCTATAATCTACACTTTAAATGCTGGTATGTATTATTCTTTGCTACACGTTGAAACTCAATGATAGACTAAACTCATAAATATTGTTTAATATTTCGAAAAAAAAGATTTCAGTATAAGTTAAAATGATATAATGAGCTTTTAATTTTCAAGAGCCAATGAGGAACTCAATAGCAAAGCGAAAAAGGACGAATTCTAGATGAAATTCAATGGGTTTATTTGGCATTTGACTGATGGAAAGCAGTATTTTAAACAAAGCAATAATGCCTAATACGTAAAGTGAATCGAATAAAATTCTATTTACAGTTCTACTATTGCTGAGAAAGAGATAGATTTTCTCCTTGGATGACTCCATTCGTTGCTATATGAAAACTTCCTTTTCATTTTTCAACACCAACTATACTGATACAGAAACAGTGACAAGAAAACTAGGTTACCATTTTTGAACATCTTCATTCTCATAGTTAGATATGAACGTAATCAACTATCGGCAAAAGTTACGGTGCGAGAGTGAAATGGCGCTCAATGTGCTCCACATAACTCTCAGAAATACGTTTCTTATATTATTATGCGCACTCTCATATCGAAGCCTCTATTCGACATAGTTAGTGGCGTTAGAATTATGTAAGTGTCTAATAAGAGCAGATAAGGGTATATGTAACCTGTTGTAGTAGTTGTAATCGTTGTTGTTGTCGTACCTACAAAATAAAAAATACAGCAATGATCACTTTGAATTATCATTGAGAAGTTTATTTTCCATGATACACAACTTACTTGCACATACGAGATACTTTTGAATGCGATAATTTTTGGAATCAGCCACATACAAGTTTTTGTTTGCATCAAATGTAATTCCATTGGGATAATTTAGAGTTGTTGCAGTTGAACCTGACACTCCACTAGTGCCTGCTATGAGTACGCCAACAGTTGCTCCTTTGGCCCACATAACGATCCGATGATTATTTGTATCGGAAATGTAAAGATTTCCGTTTGAATCACTAATAACTGCTCGAGGGCTATTCAATTGATTTAGAGCTACTCCACTTGAATTTTGACCAGCTACTGTTGTGCCAGATGTTCCTCCAATAATCCATCGTTGCACTCGGTGATTTGAGCTATCGACTACATATATAATCGATCGATTGTTTACGTCTATGTAAATACCCATTGGGCCATTAAATTGATTCGCCGCATTGCCATTGCCATTGTCACCCGCAATGACAACACCAGACGAAGATGAATTCAGCTTTTTCATTACTCGATTATTAGTAAAATCTGAATAATAGACAGTTCCATTCGTATCAGCGTAGACACCATAACAAACATTTATCTGATTCAAACTTGATCCTGGACCATTCCCTTCCAAATGAAAAAAAGTCATTTGTTTAATGGCAACAACAAGTTTGAGAGTTTTCTGATATTCTATCTAGATTCGACCTCTTTGAAGTCCGTCTGAAAGTATGTCGGAATAACCTTTCAGGAGGTATAGAATATGTGGCCTATAGGTGGCTACGATATCAACCAAGAATGATAAAATCATAGCTGTGAGAAAGAAAACCTGCAGCTCATAAAGATGAAAATATCTGATTTATTCGAAAAGGATAAGGATTTCTTTTTCTCAAGGAATTTTTTTTGTATTACCATCCTAGATAAGAAAATCAATGAAATTAGAAAATCGTATTCAAGCAGGATTATTTTAAAAACAGAAATGTCTGTAATGAGTGGAAAGCGGAAAAAGCTCAGAGTGAAACTTACGTTCACTATTTGATAGCCAATAGTTCATGCTCTTATGAACTATTTTAATTCGATCCTACAAATACCGAATAGTGTTCATTAAGTCATTGACTAAGATTTCAGATACCACTGTAGCCCAGCATGTGTCTGGAGAGCACTGGGCCAGTCTAATTGCAAAGTATTTCCCTGGACTGAGAAGACTAGGTCGAGAATTGTCGTATAGATAACCAGATAATCTAATATTTTACATTGATTGATTCTCAATACAAACGCTTTTTATTAATGAACTGTTCTCAATGTTCACAAGAACGTACGAGTCCTCCAAAATATGAATAAATCAAAATAAACAACCGTCATCGATAATAAACGTGGTACTAACTATCGTGATATTTTCATAATATGTCAACCATTATTTTGTAGAACTCACTATATAGAGTGGTAAGTGTAAATTTTAATAGGAGCTTCAAGATCTTTGTCCTCAATTCGACAGGCATCTGCCCGGTAAAGACAACTTCCTATTACAAACGCTGCTTTTGTATATATAATCCTCCTTCAGCACAGATGTTTTATTTTCATCTTGTTAAGATAATTAGCTCAAAGATTTTGTTCAAAAAACATGCTTTTCTTGTTCAGCATATTAAGCTTTTTTGATTTTAATGCTTGTTTTCTGTGTCTCATTGTATTTTTATTCTTATTGGTAACTGCCATAGTCTAATTCGATGTCCATATTTCAACTCCATTGAGAAGTGCGATTTCAAACTTGTTTAAATATATCTCAACCATACATACACGAATTAGTCGAAAACTCGTTCTATTCCTTCTGGTCAAAATTTTTTAACTTCCCAAGAAGAAGGTTACCAGAACATTCTGAATTACAATGCTTTCAAATGAAGGAGGAAAAAGCGGATTCCGGTAGATCCAATTGGATCCCTTGAATCCTAATAGATCCCGCAACGGAAAACAAGCAGATTCCGGTGAATACCATCGGATCCCGGGCTTCGATGGGATCCATAGAATCCTGGAATTGCGGAATTCGCTTTTTTCCCCTTATTTCAAATAATGATTTTTTTTGGGTTGTCTAGAAGATCGACAAGCATGACTCGCGTATATACTGCCAATGCCGTAGTGATTTCTCTCGATTCAAAATAGAAAAGGAGCAATGAAGTATCCGAAAAGTTACTGCGTCTTGTACTGGGACGCCAATGGGGGCTAAAACTGGAAGCATCTATATGTGTAATATTCATTCGATCCCGAGAATTCCTCCATGGATGTGTTAAGTGAACGTTTTTACGACTCTTCATAGAAACGTAGGCTAAGTTTACATAAAAAACTCAGTCCTAAAAGTTCTGTTTTGCTCATGTCACAGTTACATCATCTTATCTATATCTCTAAATTTATGCTTTCGCAACAGTGTTTTTGTGATATGCGAGAGTTTTACAAAAATAGTGCCCTATTCAGATTTCATTTTCGTGTAATTTGGCCCCATTGATCCATGCAAATTTGTGCAAATGTCTTTACGATCGTATCTACAAAGAATTTCTTGGAATCCAATAAATATCACAAAAAAGACATTTCCTCAATTACATTGTCTAATGGCTAGAATCCTTCGTCAGTTTCTGAAAAAGGTCGAGATATGTTGAAACAATAGTGGTTCGTGTTTTAATGAAAATTCGACAATAGCAACAGAACTTTACATTCATGCCTCTGAGAAATAATAGGCAGCCAGAAATTCTAAATGATGTTTATATAGTTTTTTTCTTTGTGTGCTTCAATGACTTCATTATTCTGTTACTCTACAGTGTACGATCAGCGTTGGAAGATTGCTAATATATTTAACATATTTTTGAAAGTAAAATAGATTTCTCCATGATTACTCTAACCTACTTTGCCATGCTAGCATACTCTAGAGTAGGGTTATGATGTTAGTTCAAAAGTGTTGCGTAAAAATAGGTTTAAATTCTAGCTGTTCAACATGATGCACCTCTAAAATTTTCAAGGTTTTGATAAAAAAATGTGACCGAGTCTTATTGTGAAAACAAGCTCGAGAAGAAATGATTCTTTTCTCCACAGTTATGAATCTATCTTTGCCTCGTAACAACTGATCTGGCTAGAACTTTTAGAGTGTGTGCCTCCTTATGTAAGTAAATAATAGGAAACAATTTCACACAAAAACTTTGAGTTATACAAGCATTATCATAGCATAAGGTTCAAAACATAGGTATCCGTATGTTAAGAATTTACTGTCCGACTCTAGTGATACGGATTTCAAGTTCATTTTAAAGTGTCGCCAAGTTCTGTCACTACAATGCAACGAAGTTCGACTTCCAAAAACTTGTTTCTTGACTTTTGATGAGAGTTTCTCTTAAAATATTCGAAAATTCACGGATACTTCCAAGAAAAACGAACCACTTTTCAAGAGGTGTTAGATATTTAAAAAAAAGATGTCTCTGGTAAGTTGTAGAGTGCAATTTTCTCTTCAATTTAAAATCTTTCTGAATTTCGTAGGATTTAAAATATCTGAGAGAACTCGGATTCTAGAACAATACAAAACCAGAAAACCCATTTCGAGATAATCGTGAATTAACTTCGTCGTCGAAAATCAACTTGTTCTTCGCTATGAGGTTATACGAGAGAATGAATATGGAAGATATATGACAGTGTATGTAGTACATATTTGCCGATATATTCTATTGAAATTCCGAATGGTACGGACATCTAGTGAAGCTCAAAAGGCTTTGATGATTGCGTTTCGTTAAACCCTTTGCAGTATGAATTTTTCATCAAAATACCCATCAAATCTTTAGATACCATTATATGAAACTCGAAAATGATTAGTCTGAACAAAAATTGGGATTTTTGAGTAGGAAGACTTAAAGACTTACCCTTTCCAGGACTCTTCAAAGTCGACAGAATGAACAATTTGAAAACTCTCTAAGTAGATAGATCTTGTGTCATAGAACAAAAGTCGTGGTAGAGACAAAAATCCAGAATGCCTCCTAGAAGATATTGGATCCCCAAATGTTAAGTATGTTTGAGTGAAAAACAGTAAGTCCAATACGTCAAGACTAGGAGAATCAGATAAAAGTGTGACTGTGTACTGTGTATCTGTTCCTGACAAAAAAGGCAGTCTGCCTGAATCATCCTGACATACACCTGCAGACTATCAGAGAAACATAGTGTATATTTCTGGGCTAACTTGAGATTGGATAGAATCAGGCTAGTACAGGTCAGGTGAGAATAATAATCGCATGTCAACATCTTTAATTCACACAATTTTCTCTGAACAAAAATGATATAAAGGTAGCAGGTATACTGAACCTTTACATGATTAAAATTTGACCTACGATGAAAATATTGCTCAAGTACGTACAAGAGTTGAACATGATCTTTATATAAAGAAAAGAAGACTTCCAAATCTGGAATTGGATGATAAATAAGGATTATACACAACATTTATAGAAAACTTAATGTTTCTTTGATTGACTGTACGTATAAGCCTAGGTTCGAAGAATCTCTACAAGAAAATCGTTACTCATATATATAGTAAGGAGAAAAATGATTTTTAAAAGGTATCCACTTGTGAGACAACCAAACTATTCTGGTATACAAACTTATAAAAGAAGCCAAGATAAGTTCTATTAATCAGTGACCAACAATCAACAACTTATTTTGATGGAAAATTTCATATTACCTCCAGCAACTGTAAAGCCAGATGACGTATTGTAGGCAAACCTTTGTATTCGATAGTTGTAAACATCAGAAACAAACAGCGTGCTTGAAAGCACAAATATAGCGCATGGGAAATTAAACAAAGTTGATGATGAACCGATATTATTGACAACTCCAGCTACTGTTTGACCGACGAAAGAGTTTGATGCAAATCGCTGAATTCGTTGATTATCTGCATCAGCAACATAGATATTTGAATATATGTCAATGGCGACATCATTGACATAGTTAAGTAAAGTTGAATTCGCACCTTGTATTCCTGTCACACCAGCCACAGTGATACCAGTTGAATTCCAGCTACTACCAGGTGTACATGAGGTGACTAAAACAGAAAAGTGAAGGCTATATAAATCAGACAATATTTGTGCCCACGAACACTATCAAACTATAGAGAAAGCACGATCATCAATTTCTTGTGTATCGACAGTTCCATTTTTCTCTAATGCAGTTGATACTTTGCCGTACTTCTATTGTTCTTTAATTCGCTTATCTTCACAAGAATGACGGACTTTTTCCTTATCCTGATATTCTGGTAAGCTCTAATTAAAAGAGATATGTATATTCAATGAATCATAGGAGAGCAATTCTTAAAATAAATCAAGTCAGATCAGGAGAGAATGATAATGTCTTAGTCCTAATATGATTTGGTATTTGTTTCGTTCGATCCTAATGTGTCCAACTTTGGTTGTTGGCGTAGCCCGAGGAGCAAACAGCGGAAATTTCGGAATCGAAATCTCATTAAGTCTCGAAGTGTGAGTGTGAGAAAGTGTCTGTGGTTAATAGTCTTCGATTCACGCTCAACCTCAAATGTGAACTGTAGAACACCATATTATTTAAGCTGCCAGACTTGTTCAGAAAGCATTCGAGATTATTGAGCACAAGGCCACTCGTTAAGACTACCAAGTCTCTGTGAAATGAAGGCAATTCATCGATCACTCATGTGCCAATCGCATCCTAATACCACAGCTTAGCTCATGTATTCCATATAAGTACAACTCGGCAACATTTTTTTCCGTATATATTCAAGCAGACTTCTTTCCGCCATAATTATGCACTTGTCTTCAATAGATGGTTTCTCTCTAGAGGGTGTTAGTGAAGTACGGTTGGGCTAATAATGTGGTACTATCATAAGAAGCTAAAGCCAGTATTATCAATATTTCCGATGCAGAGACTACATTAAATTTTAGTGAAAGCGGTAAACCCATTAATCGATGCCTTTCATGAGTGAGTTTTGAGCACCAGAAAAATTTGAAGAGCGAATAATGCACTTTCCGAACGTGATTAAACTGCAATGAAAACACTCTCATTTTTATATCGGTGCCTCACCTCCAGTTCTATCCAAACACTATGTTATCATCGCCTCCTCGAAACACAGATGACACAATATCTAAGCTCGGATGTACATCTCCGACAAACGCTAATACCTGCACTTGATGCTCCAGTAGTTGTCGTGACAAATGTTGTCGCGGCTGCCACACTCGTGCTATTTGTTGTTGTTGCACTGGTTACGGATGCAGATGCCGTTGTCGCGGCAGTTGTTCCCCCAGCAGTCACTGTTGCAACCATTGCCGTTGCGTTGACTGTGATAGCAGCAGTTGCTGTCGGAGAAGTTGTTGTTCCTACAACCATTGTAATAGCAGTAGCTGTAGAACCAGTCGTTGTTACAAGTGTCATAGTCCCGACATTTGTTGTTGCTGCAGTTGCTGTAACAAGAGTCATTGTCGCCGCTGTCACTGTTGCCGTAGTTAGGCTTCCACTTGCTGTAGCAGCGGCAGTTGTTGTTGTTGCAACTGCTGTGACAGCAGTAACTATGGAGGCAGTCGTTATTACCGGTGTCATTGTTCCCACAGTTATTGGAGGTGTCATCGTTCCTGCACTTGTTGGAGGTGTCACGGTTCCTGCAATCGTGGGAGGTGCGATTGTTCCGGCAGTTGTTGAAGGTGTCATCGTTTCTGCACTTGTTGGAGGTGTCATTGTTCCTGCACTTGTTGGAGGTGTCACGGTTCCTGCAGTTGTGGGAGGTGCGATTGTTCCGGCAGTTGTTGAAGGTGTCATCGTTTCTGCACTTGTTG